CCCTGATGAACGAAGACGGGATCTCTATCCAACGCGTCGATGGCCTTCTTACTGCGTGTATGACATCCTGCCCCACAGCTGACCCTGCAACCTGCCGAAAATAAATATCATTATCAACCTCGTGTAAGCTGCTCATCAAAAAAAAATGTATTGATTAGTGGTACCGAGGTTCAACGAAAGTCGGTATCGAAATATTACTACGCTTTGCGCTAACTGATATTAACACCGACTTCTGCAGTTTTGATTGTCCGGGGAAAACAAGTTATTATCACACTATCACCAGACAATCTCAGCTATCCGCCATCAGCAACCTGCATAAAAGGGCATCACTGAATGAGGATGCCTCATTCGAGTAGACGGCTCGCTGAGGAAGACCTGACCCGACACAAAGACGAAGCCGCCATATCGAGACGAATAACGAGCGTGGACCATCGACTCGGATCATCGGCTCTGATAAAGACGAAGACGTCGAAACGTTAGCCGGAAATAAATATCATTATCAACTTCGTGTAAACTTATAAAAGAATGCATATTAAAGATGAAATGGTCAAAACTTTCCGCCATGATATAGAATTAGTAGCGGAAACAATCTACACCAACCTTTCCCGTGCCACAATACCCGTCCCGGCCCTAATATCCCGCTGGAAAAAACCACCTGGAATTCGTCCGTCGGAGGTTCGAGTTGCGATAGAAAGCATATAGACAAGGTTGGCTCCAGGGCCCGATAATACCGCCGCCGATTTCCTTAAAGCTGGAAGACACAATGTACATGCACTTTTCGCGAGCAATATGAGAGCTTGCCTCCAAAAGGAAAATACCTAGACGAGTGAAGAACGTCGCGCATGGTTAACCTACCTAGGAAAGCTGAGAGAAAGTGTCTTCGTAACGCGTCCGATATACTTGTTGAGTGTCCTCTGCAAGCTTTTCACGAAGATTATCCTGCCGCGCATACCAAAGACACTGGATGAGGCGCAACCAGTCGAGCAAGCAGGATTTCGAAAACGATTTTGTTGCATGGACCACATCCAAACTGTGTCCAGGATTATCTAAGTTTGTCAGGAATCCCACCTGCCTCTAGTCCTTACCTTTGTCGACAATGAAAAAATGTTTGACAGTGTTGAAACGAATGCAGGCCTATCAGCGCTAGTCGACTAAGGAGTGGACCCGTCCTACATAAAAACTCTGTCCAACTGCTATCGGAACTGCACTACGAAAATGGAGCTTTTCCATCGACCTCTTACAATACCCATAGGATAAGGGGTTCGACAGGGCGACACAATATCGCCAAAGCTCTTCAGTGCCGCACTGCAGTGAATAATGAAGTCACTCAATTGTGATGAGAAAGGCATACGAATTGATGGAAAATTCCTATCAAACCTTCGTTTTACCGACGACGTCATTATCTTTTTAAGAACTACTAACGAAGCAGAGACGATGATCAACGAGCTGAACGAAGCGGGGAAAAGATCGGACTACGCATTAAGCGGAAGAGGACCCAGTTCATAAAAAACCAATGGTGCCGAAGCGAAAAAATTGAACTGGATGGCTCCCTGATTGCAGAGACCACCTCGTGCGTATACCTGGTGCGATCAATCACCTCTCTCACCTATAGCCCCGTTGATCGTCGATTGACTCGAGGGGGCGCCAGTAAATCTTCTATTTTTCTTAACTCCTTTATTTACTGCCTTTCTCTTCTTAATGGCAGGGTATGTTGCGAAATATAACTCGTATGAAATGTTGAGATATTTGCAAAACTCGGGACCACAGGTGTATGCAGTGGACAACGAATACGCGCTGCTGTCCTTCCCGGGGTGCAGCGCACTTCACCACTACACCATCCGGGTCCTTCGATTTGCATGTCTCTCAGCTAGTTCTATCGATCTTTTTGCCATCAGCAATCACCCGTCAACGGGATTGATCTGGGGAGCCAATATCGGCATTGAACCCAGTTAAGCTGAAGCTTAGTTATAATCACACTCTTAACTCTTTTATTCACTGCCTTTTTCTTCTTAATGGCAGGGTATGTTGCGAAATATAAAGGCAGTAAATAAAAGAGTTAAGATTGTGATTATAACTAAGCCTCAGCTTAACTGGGTTCAATGTCGATATTGGCTCCCCAGATCAATCCCGTTGACGGGTGATTGCTGATGGCAAAAAGATCGATAGAACTAGCTGAGAGACAGGCGAAACAAAGAACCCGCGTGGTGTGGTGGTGAGCGCGTTACTCCCCGGAAAGGACAGCAGCGCGTTCGTTCTCCACCGCAGGCACCTGCGGTCCGGAGTTTTGCAAATATCTCAGCATTTCATACGACTTCTATTTTTCCCTGTCGTGTGCAAGAGTAGCCCAGTGGGTTCTGTTTGCCCTAGGCACTCGTCGAACACCATATCTTTCTTTAAGACTCTTTGTGAAAAACTCTAACCATTGGGTCGGTGGTCTTCCTGCAGTACGTTTGACATTCCGAGGAATCCAGTCACTAACGGCTCTCGTCCATCGGTTGTCATTCATATGCATTACGTGCCCGGCTTTACATCTTTTTAATCGTAAACGTCCGATTCGGGTTGCTAGTTGTTCGAATGAATCAATGTTCACGGACAAACTGGTGTTGACGAAAACGCCGACGCCGCCGACTGCCCCTCTGTCGCATGTTCGGAGGAACAGTTCTTCTCCGGTGTCATAGACGGCGTTGAATGGGTGGCATCGTTTCATCTCGGCCAGGCCGATGACGTCGTATCTTTTCCTTCTTTCTTGCATGGTCAAGTCTTCTATCGAGGACTCGATTGCAAGGGTACGTGTATTGCAGGTGCAGATCGTCACCTTAGTTCTTCGTCCAGGGCCCTGAGGTAGTTGCAACCTCTCCGTATTCGTCTACCCAACGCTGCCGAATTGAAGGCCCTTTCGGGGTCAGGGAAATGAGACTTGTTTTTTTTTTACTGTGTTTAGTATTTTTGATACCCACGTATAGCTTGCTGGGCTCTGAACGTGGGGGCTGAGTATACTCACGGGTGGCTTGCCAGGCTATCCCAAAGTGGATATGGAGCTTATTTGTTGGAGGCGACTCCTAACCGCCTCCCATACATTTTCCTACCACTTGATTGCAGCCTTTTGGCCGAATTGACTCGTAGAATACAATCCGCATTAACTTGAACGCACCCACACATGCATATGTGAATACGCTTCGTAAATACAGAATGTATGTGCCAAATCGGCGTAGCAAAAACAGGGAGTGCATCCCCTGGATCCACCTGCATCTCAGGGAAGCAAAGGTCGTTTTTGGTCCACGATTAACCCGCTATCCATCACCTGGAGCGAGCCACGTAGCCTAGCGACTAACCGGCTCAAGATCCCTCTCATATAAGGAACCTCCATGGAGGCGATCAATGAACATAGGAAATAACATGAAGGTGAAGCTAGATAGGAGAAGTAGAACAGATTGGGCCGCATTAGGGCCGCCGAAAAAAGCCACCAACCAAGCGAAAAACCCGAAAATCCGCGCTCACTTTTTCGATTCAACGGTTCACCCAGCGCTCTGTTATGTTGCAAAGACGTGGGCTGATAGTTCAACCAAGTCAAGAACACTCATCACCACACACAGAGCGCTTGAGCGATGTCTTCTGAAATATAACCGGCACCCTCAATATCAAGCCGGAATACGAAGTACTGATCTTCGAAATCTCTCGCATCTTCGAGATCCAGAAGAATATACATCGATAGCGAGACACAGTTGGGTCTTTCAGAAAAAGTCCCCTAGGGCGAAGTCACTTACACGACGTCTTCGTAAACAGAGTGCAAACGTCCCATAGGACGGCCACCTACACGTTGGAGAAGGTGTTCATAAACAAAGTTAATCAGCTGTACCCGCAGCTGCAGTTATTTTACAAATCACGGTATATGACTCACTACCATGCTCGTACAAAACCACCACGATGGACTACGATTGCGAGAGAAAGGAACGAATGGTAAGTCTGCTGTGGTCTACACAACTCAGGAGGACGGACCATCCAAGTATCCGAGTAAGTATTTGCTGTAATGTTGTGCCCGCAACAGCTTACGAGGTAGCTAATCGAAGGGATAGCAGTGGGCACAAAACTTCTTTCCGACCAATTTGTGAAAATCTGAAAACGCCCTAGCTAGTAGTTGATAGTGCAGATGAGGAAACCATTCTTTATCTCATAGAGGATACTCTTTATTTCTTCATCCTATAACATATTAATTCCATTACTAGCACCCTGTTGTATACGTTGTTGTCACATGCAATAAATCAAAAAACAACACCGCCTATCTCAGACTGTACAAGAGCGTGGACGACACAGCCCGGTGATGTGCCGTTGGGTACTCCGCAACTCTAGCATTCTATATATGTTTTAATTGGTGAGCTTACACGAGTCTGATAAATACGTTTTATTCGGCTAACGCTTCTACGTCTTCGGCAAACCACAACACGCACCTACAACAGATTACGTCATGAAATTTGTGCACGTCAATATACTCGAAGGAAAGCAGCACCATGGACGACGATTTTGAGGCAGAGATCAGTGAAAATATGCTGGGCATATCATTGACGTACCGTACAAATATCGAATTAAGCTCGCTACATAGAAGTATGAAGTGCTCAATATTTTCATGGCGAAGCATGTTCTCAAAGACCACCTCGAATTTTTTTAACACGTGACCTTGATTTGCATATGAGTTAATCGACAGATCCTTTGATTTTTGTCGAAGATACTCTGCACTGGGCACGTAAGGCGTCTTATTAGCAACAACCGACAGACAATAGCCGTTAAATCAGGAGGACCACTGACATGGTGTTCAAAGCTCTTCACGAAAACTGCTAAAGAAAAATGTGGTGCTCAACGAGCCCTAACAGTGAGCAGAGCCCATTGAGCTACTCATAGATGCAACAAGGAGAAATATGCTTACTGACGCCTTTTCGGGTTACTAGACGATTAACTGATAGATGTAATAATATTAATAGGACTACCTAACACACTTTATCACAACTTTACTTCTTAATCTGACCAATCTCTTTATTTATAGTGTCAGCAAAAACATCAAAGATCTTGTGTAACACCATCTGAGCATGTTCGATGCACTCTTCGAGACCAGCATTTTCCTCTATTGGGCTGTTGTCGATCTGAACTGAACTGCATTCGTCGTTGGTCTTTTTCTCACAGAAAATTCACTAGTAAAGAAAAAACTCACCAATTCTCTCACTTTCGAGTGGAATTTGGACCTCCTTTCTTTCTGCAAAGATAAATCATCTAGAAATCCGCTCATAATTAAGAAAACGACGACAGCAGAAGATAACTGTAAAAGAATGAAAATGAAAACAAATTGTTGTTAAACTGTAGAAATGAATAAGATCGGAACAGATCTTCCAAACTTGTCAATTGAAGAACAGTGAGAAAATGATTAGGACGTTGAATAGTCCACAAGTATTGGAAATTTCCAATCATTATGCTCCTTCTGCTAAAAAATTATGACAATGTTGTTTGCTTGAGAAACCTACAGGGACCAGACTCCTCACTTCATCCAAATCAAATTGGTCATGAATATGCTGCCGCACCTGCTTCAACGTCCCCCAGGGTCTGTCTATAAACAATTGTAAGCAAACTGAAAATAAGTAACTTCTTCCGTAATCATGTTTTAGAGAAATGGCAATATGCGCTTTGATTGATAACGAAACATGGATTAGGGAGGAGCGCGTGGTGCGCAGAGGGTAGAGCTGCCCTGCAATACATATTAGGTCGCTTCTTCGATCCTGCAAACTGAGTTCACCAAGCTTTACATCCTTCTTGCACACACAGGAATTGGTACACTTGCACAAGACTTTTTTGTGAGGACAAAAACACTAACTTCATTCATCAGTAGGCCATCGTAAGTTATTGTATAGGACAGATATGCATTCAATCATTTTTAACGATGTTTCATGAAATCGAATTCATGGAAAGTACCTTGGCTGTTCAGAAATCGGATTCTTGGCTCAATCCTCAAGAGTTGATCAACGACAAATCCATCACTTCTATGGCTTTTTCACACATTGTTAGATCGCAAGATGCTGTTCTTAATGCTAACTTTCTTCATACTTCCAACTGCACTATTCTTATCAGCCTCCTACTTTTTGAAGGCTTGTCCCACGTTCAAACGGAAATATCTATTCGTTCATTATACTTCTAAAAAATTCTCTAGTCGGTGCATGCAAAATCTTTTACAATTGCACTGCCAAAAACATTAAAAATGAAATCGCAAATTCAAGGATCAAACGCTGTGAATTAAAGGTGTGATTTCGACTGTAGCCTCAGCTTAACTGGGTTCAATGATGAATTATGGTTCCTAGATCATTTTCATTGACGGATGATTGCTGATGGTAGCGTTAGGGCAAAAAACTGGCCGAGAGAAGTGCAAAGCAAGTTTCTCAATGGAACAGTGTGTCACACATGAGCCCACGGAAACGATAGTCAGAGGCTTGAATATCACCCGAAGCGCAGGTTTTGAAAATATCTCAGCTTCATCGTTGTTTTATTCTACGCTGTATTGTGCCGTAAAAAATAGTAGACAGTAGAGAAAAAGTTAAACGCTGTGATTTTACGTCACCTCTAAAGCGGATGACGAAGTTACCTCTGTTCTTTTATTTATTGTTCTTACTCTACACAAAGGTGAAGAATTTTATAAACCTTCAATGTAACTGAGGATTCGGCTAATCTTCCGAATAATGAAAAACGAGGAGCAGGTGTAGAAAAGTCACACAAAGAAGAAGACGACTTTCAGTAGAAGCAGGAAAACTTGGAATGAATAATAGAGTAGGAATAGCGGTGGCGGCAACCAAAGCTTCGCTTCATATCTGAAATCTTGCAACAAATTAAAAACATTCAGAAATCCGACATTATCTCAAGGTATTGCACTTTGGTAAGGCTGATACCAAAAATGAAAGCAGAGTGTATTGTAACCATCAAAAGCAAGCTAGTGCTTAGATCAATGTTGAAATTTTAAAAGCCTTCCGAAGAACAGATGCCAGAAAAGCTTACGTAGCGAGAAGGAAGTAGTTCTCATACTTCCAATATATTGCCGAACCTCCGCCTGAAACCTTCTCGTATTCCTTCTTGTAAAAGGGTAGTTTAGACTTCCGTCGACATTCTTCCGAGTTCAATGAATTGCAGCACTTCACTTCTTGCAGAAATAGTAAGTCCTTGAAAGAGGTCTAGCAACGACGCGTATACCACTAAAGATTTTTCTCCCGTTATAGGCTCTTAATGTGGTAGAACGGAGAGATATTCAAAAGGTATAAAGCGAGAAAGCATGCAGGAATTCTAAAGTTTCATCGCGCTCTAACGACCGTCTCCACGAGTTTAGGATTCGCCACATTTGGCTGCAGCATACGTATCCATTATGTTCCAGGATGGACAGTAGTTCAGCATAATAAAGAAGTATTTCAAATTAGATTCAAACAAAATAAGAAAACTAGATGAGAAAGCGAGGTGGTTTGCTTACATTCTATAATGTTTGGTTATAAATTGTATGCACGTAGATGTTTTAGACCCAGTTACGCCGCTAAAAATATATAAGTTTGTAACGTGTAAAAATTCCAGGCTCTAGATTTTAAACTTTGGTAGGATAAAAATTTGGCTGATTTGGACGCCCCAGTTCAATCCCGCTGACGGGTGATTGCTGTGGCAAAGATCGATAGAAATAGCTGAGAGACAGGCGAAGCAGAGGACCTGCATGGTGTGGTGGTGAACGCGTTACTCCCCGGAAAGGACAATAGCGCGTTCGTTCCCCACCATAGACACCTGCGGTCCAGAGTTTTGCAAATATCTCAGCAACGTTGTGGTTGTGATAGGACAGTCGCAATTAGAAAGTCCGTTTGAGGCGCTCACGAAAGCAGAGCGGTGAGCAAGTTGACGAGCATGATGCTGGCGACGATCATGTAGGTGAACACGGTGATCGGGACGAGGGTCGTTCGAAACAGGCAGTACATGTCGTTCGAGTTGGCTCTCCACACGGACATCCAGGTGATATCAACGCAACCAGGCAATGAACCTAGAAGTCGAACTGTTAAAACACTGTAGAGAAAGGGGAATTGGCGTAAACAAACAAAGTGACGTTGGCTGTATTGCCACCGTTGGTGACTTGAAAGCGCTGTCCTTTGCAATAAAATCTTTAGAATCACATAGCAACAAAGATTTGGGAAAACAATTTCACCTCGAAACAAAAATGCCTGTTCTATTTTCTGAGTTTTTAACACCTATTCTTCAGTCGAATTGAGGTTCCGCTTACAATAAGATATTTTCAAAAAAGTGGAAAAATGAAGCTCAGTCTTACGAAAATACCCTCGTACTGGCCATGAACTACGTGAACTGTATATAGTCAACATTTTCATTTTTACAAGGAGCTTTGTACGGCTAACGTTTCGACGCCCTTTCTTCCTCAGAGCCGCTTCGATCCGAGTCGGTCCCGCATCCCACAACTGGTTGCTGTCGTGGTGTGTCTCTTCGTGGTCCCATCGAATCCACTGAGGAGAGCACCGTTCGAATGGTGAACTTCGCTCAGCAGTGTCTTTTTATACAGGACGGATTTTGATGGATTGCTGGCATCCAGTATGATCTACTTAGTATGGGCAATGCATCCTGCAGCAGTCGATCTTGCACTGGCTAACACATGGCGAATCAATGTTTTCTAAAGCGACTATCGTTTAACCTCGGCATTAGTAATCAATTCCTTCTTCGACTTGGAATAAAAAGTGCATATGAATTGCTACAGTTCACAAAGTTTTGGAGATTTTGCTGCCCTTGAAGTACTCTGCCCTAGAATTTTATCACCTCGCTGACTTACCGACCTGATTTGTCACCATCGTCAACTTCTCCAAAAATCTCGAATGCTCCCTTCTGAAAGATCATCCATGCCAGTGAGTGATTCGATCTCATCGAGTAGTTCTCTAAAAGTTCATTTCTCGTGAGTGTCCATTTCTTCTTTAGAAAATATTAAAATCATAACTATATTGAGATTACATTTATAAATTGCAGTATCGTAATCAACATACCAAACACCTGTGAGATTAAAATTAACAAACATAAAAGAATGAACATTTTACCAGCCATGCTAATGTGAAACACAGTGAAAATCATCCAAAATATGACGAAGATCAGGAGAAATTTCCATAGTGTCCTGATCTGCAAATTCGGCTTAGGTACTTTCAGCGGTTTTGTCTTCGGAAGTGAAAATTTTTCCTTTTTGCTTCCCACTTTCTTTTCACATCTGCTCAGCTAATGAATTCCGATAACACTCAAGTAAAATCAATCCATTCCTGAGTTTACGGTACTTAGTGACTTCGACTAAACCTTTCTTCGTTTAATGTTTTGATAACGCCAATTTGTAGACCATAAAGTTTCAATACGATTCAAGAAATATTGAAGTTAATGGAGACACGAAAAACCCCTAGTTGTAACACTTACCATCCTTTTCAGCATAAAGGTAAGAACGCTGAAGAAGTAGAAGACGCTCAAATAACGAATCATGGAAGCAGCAGCGAACAGAAATGACACATGGAAGATCAGATCGTTCATAGTGCTGACAAACGCCCACCAACCTCTGAATTGATCAATCATCAAGTGAACAATGAGCTCTTTCTTCTATTAAAACACCCTTGAATTCAGTAGAATTAACATTACAGTTGGCTAAGGACCACTGTGGCACCTTTTAGCTGTGCTCTACCATGGTGATAGGCAGAGCTGAGCTTATTGGTTGCCTAGAAGCAAACAGTCGTTAGGTTAGCTAAGAATGAATCCATATCACCACAAGGTTATCAAGAACGCTAGTGAAACTAATACAGCATAGAAAACTACTAGATGCTGCAGTGCTACTAACGCGTCGATTCGGAAAGATCGGCATTGATCGCTTTAGTCGGCAGTTAGTATACACCTGGTGGTGCTATCCTCCCAACGCTTTACCGCCTCATTGTGGCTGGGATGTGTTCCTGGGTGTCGGAGGACTGCGATTTACAGCGGGGGGATTCGTCTCATTGGCAGGGTCTTCCAATTTGAGAAGGAGTCCGGCGTTTCCATCAGGAAGCCTAGCTAAGGGTAAACCAATGCTAGGATCCACCACCGCCTTGGTATCAAAGTCGCATGGTGGTAAATCTCCCTCTGATCCACAAGGACTGCGACTACCTGTCGTAGTGGCGACCTGGGGCAGACTTTGGTCAGGCTGTCTTCAGGATTCCAAGGAACGACAATGGTTTAACCAGCAAGCCTCCGAAAAATGGTGATTATACTTGGGCCTGCACAACTAGTGGTGACGGGCCGTTCAAGTATCAAGTATCAAGATGCTATGAAGTGTCCTCTCAGCAAACCAGGACTACAGAACGTTTTAATTTTGCAGCTGCTGCAGTTCTTGAAGCACGACATAAAGTCCTTGATTTAATACTAGATGTTTAAGTGACTGACCAACAATATAGTCCTTGCATTGCATTGCACAGTATAACGCAACGAGTAGAGGTACAATACAATACCCAGTGGATCGGTCTCTGGTTCGATCCCGCGCTGCTTTATAGGCTCACCAAGCACTCTACCTCTCCGCGGTGGGCGTATTGGCATCAGACTTGTCTGGGAGTGTAAAAACACTGACTTAATACTTCAGTAGCAAGTGTAACTCGTTATAAAGGCCATATATGCATCCAACCACCTCTACGATGTATGACGAAGTTTCCCGCACACCACATCTCTCAGGGATTGATCAACACCGCATGAGTTATCTTTTTTAGCCTTTACATTGAATCGAGTTCATGCAATAGTTCGTCGACTAGTTGTTAGGTTCGGTCTAAAGTAATGCTCAGTTATGATCAAAAATTTGGAATGTCTGTTTTTTTGGAAGTACTTTAAAACGACTTGAATACTGCTTATTACCACATACAGCCATTTCTGAGTCACATTTGAAGAGAATGAGGCTTCGCTCAACAACAGTTGCGCTACCGTTTTCAAATTAAAAGACTGTTACTTTAAAAAGTATATACTATAACAAAATGAGCTCTGAGATGAAGAAGGAGAAGGGAAGAAGGAAAGATTAGCATCTTTCTATAAACACCGCTCTTCCCGTCCTCAACTACTCCAGCTATCGAAAAGTTATTTAAAAAGCAACACTGGTTTTCATGTGTTCAACAATGTGTGGAACTAATAGATTCCATGAATTTTTACTAACAAGATATAAGCTTAATTTTTATATGAAGAGAGCTATGATGCACCGGAAGTAAGAGATTCTATGAAGGAATTTAAGCAGCGGCTTCGTTGCTCAGAAATTTCCGTTGGACGCGATCGTTTGATATACTCGACAAAGTGGTTCAACTTCACACCCCATTGTTTCAGTTCAAGCAATGAGCATTGTTGTACTAATAGACTGGATATTTTCTATTGAGCAATGCCGGATATATATGCTATAACTGTTAGGTTTATGCCTGTAATGGATTTCGTGAGTGTACTTTTATGCTGCGATTATCTTGGCATTTTTCTAGAACGAATTAACTCAGATACAAATAGCCAAAGAGTTACCATAATCGTCTGTCGTGCAAATTCGCGTTGAAAAGTGTAATCGCACTTTAAGAGCTTCATTAAGTCTGATCACTGCGCTGCACTACGACGGTAGTCGCACATGATCCATTTTCCAAGGTAAGTTACCCTTGGTGGATAAATGGATCGCTTTTTGGGTAAAAGTGCGCGGGGAGGACTTTCATCATAGTATCTAAGTAACTTCAATCAGTCAATAGCTTCACATATCAATTCAAATGCGACGAATATCGCATTTTTGATATGCTCCAGAAATGATCGGTGACAATAATCTTGTTGCATTCTTAAGCTCATATCGCGTAATTGAATTCCTGTGAATAATCGATCCGGATCGTTGCGGATCTGAAGAAGGCAAAGGCGCCGAAATGTTAGCAAAAATAAAGCTTCCCAACGGTTTCGTGTAAGCTTAAGAAGTCAACAACATATTGATTGGCCAAAACGAGGTTTTATGGGTTTACTCTAAGCGCAGGTTCGAACCAATGACCTTGTCACTATATGAGACACCAACGACCCCTTCGTAAGATGGGTTCCGACAACAAAATGCTCCTACCTAATGATACGGTTTATTTCTAACTCAATGAAATCGATAATCGATGACGTTTTGAGTTTGAAGTTCAAACACTTGCGATTTTATAGGTCTCGAAAATCCGTTCCTGCAAGAGAAGACTTTTCGTAATAGAAGAGGAGATCTCAGTAGCACATAACACTCACCTTTTCCTCAAGGATCGTCAGTATTTTTTTGACAATAGATTCTGAGTGAGTTTTTGAACGCATACGGCTCATCGTGACCGTAAGATGTCTATCCTAAGAAACAGATTAAGAGCAACCGACACCAAAAAACCTTATGATATTACTTTATACTTTTACTATTACTATTTACTACAACTATACTATTACTTTATAATTGTGGATTTAAAACATAATTCTTAAAGAACATTTTAACAAACACATGGAAAGCCTACTGCAAAATGTTTCCTTTAAGGCACGCCGCGTAATAGGTATGGACGATGTATTGTTTCGTATCACCGATAGCACCTTTTTATCACTCTGAGTCACTGTTGACACGAGAGTAGAAGGGCATAAAAGCACTGAGACACCTTGTTCTCAACTAATCGACGTAGAGCCGTTCAACTAAATTTAAAACACATCGAATTTTAAAAAAGACTTTTTCAACACTTTGTTTGCAACCTTCGAAAGTGTTTTTGAGAATATTTCATCTTCCTAATCGTTTTGAAAACCACGTTCCGATAAAACGTATGCATTCTTGCAGGGATGAGAATCACAAGTGCCAATAAATTGGAAATTGTTATAAATATTACAAGTGCCAATGTTTTGTAATGAGGGGGCAGATAGCACAGTGGTAGTGGTGTCCATCATCACGAGTATAGTGCTATTTCGATTCCGCTTCAGGCCAACCAAGCACCTCATCCGTCCGGGATCGGGAAATTAGTACCAGACTTGTCTGGGAAACAAATCACTCTCTGCAACCCAATTGGGAACGCTTCAGCCCGGCAATCACAGAACTCCAAGGAGAATTGCTTGAACAGCATTCTACGACATTGAAGATGAAATTTTCGATTCGAAAATTTTTTCGAAGATTCGAAGACTTCCCTGGATGGTGAATGAGAGGGAACGAGTAGAATGTGAGAAGTGCTGGGCTCCGCAGGGCAGACGTGAAGACGGGTCGTATAAAATGAAATAAACGATAAAAAAGTGTTCTGTAGTAGTGGGAAACCTCATTTTAAACTTGAAAAAGTGGAGGAATATCTTAAAATATCACTGAATCTACGAGAATATCTTGATTACAGAGACCACCTTGAAACGAGCTCCTAGCAAGTCCGCCAATGTGACTTATCACCGAAATCAAAGATAAGTTTCACGTAAGTAGAACTTTTTGCCATCGTATGACAGGTGCATTATAGAAAGGCACAAACATGCACAACTTTGAAGGAGAATGTATGTTCTGTGAACCCCAGAAAGTTGCGACTTTATCTTCCAAGAAAATTGAACTTTTTGCGAAAACCAGTAAATAATACTGGTTTTTATCTCTTTGAAAAATTTCGTTAATTCCCTGATAAAGGGTTCGCCGAAACATTAAAAAAATTCAGTTTGAAGAGCGAGAAAGCTTTTAAAAAGTCCGCTGAAACATGTTTGTCCAAGGTTTAAAAGCTGAGTTTTTTCGAGTGCTTAAAGAAGCCGCTCATTGGCACAACGCTACGATAGTCCACTAGGTGATGACTAATGCTATGCAACAATTGCATGGCAACTGCAAGTGGGGGAAGAGTCAACAGTTCCAAAAATTTGACTTCGAAGGAGAATGTAGGAGTTGCAATCGGCCAGTCTCTTATTTGATGAATTAGTCCAAAAGTCAAATACTTCAAGCTTTTGGCTCGTCTCCATTTTGGCGAGAATGCATGCTATAATAAAAGTCGTACAAACTCAGACCTGTTCTTCAGCAGACACTGCCATGTACTGAGCTAGCATGAACGTGTGTGTTGACGAATCTCTAGTGTCTTTTAGAGGGATGGACTCTACAGAAGCGGATGTATGATGGAATCGTTGGTGATCGAGAGCATAGCTGATTTATCGTGCAGGAAGAAAAGGATAACAATCACGAAGTGCATTGCATGCCAGAAGTTGAGGAGAGGACATCCAGAAACCTCAGAGAATCAAAGTGGTTCATTGTGCATGTGCAAGGAAACACCCGGCAATGAATTCTCCTGATTTCAGAAGAACCAATTACACGAACCAAAGAGAATGAGCGCTGGAAATATGGCCATTTCTTCTTCATATAAGAGTCATATTTGTGAAAAAAAAGTCAGTCTAAAACTGAAAGTGAGCGAATCTCCAATTTTGTGAACGATCCCACCAAATAGTTATGCGCTTTTCCAGCCAATTCGGACTGAAATAGTGAATTTTTTTTCTCGAAGAAAGAAAGGAGAAGAAGAAAAGCGAGAAAAGGACAAAGTGATCAGCATTGCTGCTGCTCGTTATGTTTCACTGGTGTG